TGGGAGCTAAGACTTGGAAATTAATTTAGATATCTATGTTGGATGGCAATTGTGTATTCACACTGTTTATGTTTCTGTTGTATTAGAAGATCTGGGAAATTAAAGTCTATTTTGCATATTTCAGAGGTGCAGATCATTTAATGGGGCATAGCCTTTACTCTGTTCTAAGGTTACATAAGATAAAGCTTTGAGGTACATTGTTTGACACAAGCAAGAAGGTATTCTTAGCTTTATTATGGGAAAAAGTGTGAGAGGAAAGGAGCAGCAGAGAGAAACTATTATATACTGTGCTGCTTGGGGGGGAGAGGAGGAGTCTGGAGTAAAGCTGGGCATGAGAAAGGGGGGAGAAAAGGTGGTGTTTTAATGTTTTTGTTTCTCATGACCTGAATCTTTTTTAATTGGCAATAAATTAAATTAATTTTCCCCAATTTGAATCTGTTTTGCGTATGACCGTAATTGGTAAGCAATTTCCCTGTCTTTATCTCAACCCACGAGCTTTCTCATCCTAGTTTTTCCCTGTGTCCTGCTGAGGAGGGCGAGTGAGTGAGTGGCTGGGTGAACATTTGGTCCTTAGCCCAAGGTTAACCCACCACCTTTGGGGGAAGAGTTCTTTATTCCACCTGTCAATAAAGGGCTTCAAATTACTACTTTATTCTGCAGGGGCACAACTGTTATGTGTTCATCTATGCTTTTTAACATAATGTTTGAAACGTATTTAAATCTGAACTACTAGTCTTCTAAACTTTCTTCTCCAAACCCTATCCAAGAAGTTAAAGGACTTTGTTTTGCCTTATGCTGTCAAATAAAAACTATACACCTTTGCATGTCAAACATTGTTTAAATAGGGGTTAAATTTGGTGTACTTTTCTGGTGATGTTCAGTTTTCCAGTAATCTGGCAGTCTTCATCTGTGATAACAATGGTTTTCTTCATGGGTTTGAATGCCACATAAACCAATGTCTGCTTTTAGAGAACAGTTGCATTATTTTTGTTCGATTAAATTTTGTGGATTGTTGCAGGGGAAAAACTTCTCAACTCACATAATTGAAATCAAATTAGGATCAAAGTTTTTTATTGATTTATTAACAATACATGATCATCAGCAATGATTGAACTATACATTCAGAATCCATATCAATAATACAACAGATAAACCACAATACTAAACACCTACATATTCCTAAATATGTTTCTGTTGCTACTCTTAAACAATCACATGCACACACAGAGTTAACACCCCACCCCCCCCCAAGACAGTGTAGGGTAACAAGCATACCTTCCCTTCTGGTAGTGTGGGTTACCCTACTTGCACACGCCTCGTGGAACATGTGGGTGCTCCAGCTTTAGGTGTGCCCATGCTGCTCCCTACAATCTGGTAATGTACATGACAGTGAGAAAGCCCCCCAAGAGGTCACCTTTGCACCCCTGAGGGGTGGACCCTCACTTGGTGCACCCTGTACTGCAAGCCCAGTAGCTGGATGCAGACTATTCATGAGGGAGGAAGCTGTTTTGCTTGGCCTGGGTGGAAGTTGTGATGCCAGCAGGGCCACTTCTGGCAGCATCAAACCCAGTTTCACTGTTTCTCTGTTGCCGTTTCTTTTTCCACATTTGCAAAATTTTACTGCTTCTTTTCTACTTCTTTTTAAAGATGAAATCACCCCCCACCCCCTGCTTCCTGCCAAGTCTCTTTTGTAATTCCCTGGTTACTGTTTAATCCAGCTGATGGTCATCTTCCTCTTCATTGTTATCAGTTTGGGGCAAATGCCCTCTCAGACAGTTGTGGGTGTCCCATTCACACCCACTGTTACACTCGCATCCCTATCTTATCAGTGGTTGTTATCCAGGCCTTGTTGCCAGGAAGAGGCCTTACAGACTGATCCACAATGGTATTATTCTTTGGGTTATTCTTTGTGTTTATACGATTACATTATTTGACATATATATTATATTATTTTGACACTGGGCAAGTAGAGATATAGGTTTTTAGAATTTGATGCTCCGAAGGGTAAACTAGTGGTTCACCTCTTGTAAACTCTGTTCTCAATATTTTGTTCTATTATATGTTTCTGGTTTTAAAAGACGGGTTTTTTTTCTGTTGTGTTTCTGAAATTCATCACTGCTTGGTGAGGTGTGTGTGGATGTGCATAAACAAAATTGTATGTTTGTATTTGACAATATTGCCAATGATTTTTTTTTTTAAAGAGGATAAGAAAAGGAATTTGGAGAAATTATTATTAAGTATGATTAAGTAGATGAAAGATCAGAAAGAAGTGTTGATTTAGGCTCAGGCTATTCAAAAATTACCTATTGTATATTGCATTTTCATTTTATCATCACAATTGCTCTATTGTTTTTTTGTTATATAAATATCCTGAAGCCATGCTGACTACTCTTGATGATTTTTATGTCTTTAATGTGCCTGGTAATGGTTTCCAGGATTAGCAGCTCCGTCACCTTCCCAGGGATGGAGGCCCGCCTGCCCTGCCTGTAGTTTCCTGGGGCCACCTTCCTGCCCTTCTTGAAGATAGGAGTGACATTTGCTTTCCTCTAGTCCTCAGGCACGTCTCCCAGTCACCATGATCGATCAAAGATTTTTGAGAGTGGCCTTGCAATGATATCTGCCAGCTCCCTCAGGCCCCATGTCATCATTTATATGATCCTTGACATTGCCTTTCCATGCTTCTGAATAAGCAATGCTTGCATCTTGTATCTTAACCTCTATCTACAGACCAGAAACTCTTCTGTGTACAGCCCTTAATGTCTGTTACTGTAATAACTGAGTGCTTCAAAATATTTGGAAAACTAGCAGCATAAAGACCTACTAGTGCTCAAAGAATTATGCTCTTTTCCATCTCATATTATAGAGGAGTTAGATTTGGAGTACGTCTCTCTGGAACATGTAGAAACTTTGAGTGATCAGTGTTGTGTTGTTTTGTTTTGATTTTTTTTATTTTTATTTTGTTTTGTTTTTAACCAGTTCTCTTATGTACATTTGTTGCGTTAAAGGGGCAAAGTAGTTTTGGCAGAAGATAAACCCCCTTGTGTTCTAACACTCCTCACTGAGGTGGGAGGCTAGGTGTGGCTAGGTTTAAATTCTGAATGATGCCCAATTCACCACTATCAGTCCAGGCGCGTTTAATATATATTAAACTGTTACAGTTCTGAACACACTAATAGCAGACTGCACCTTCAGCCCAGTCGTGCTCATGAACTAACACGGCCTCGCTTCGGTCGCGTTCATTGAGAAACCCAAACAACTCGCTGCCTACACAGTACAGTTTATTTAAACAACAGATACACAAGTTCTTTTGGATTGCTGGTGATAGTGACTGTCTGCAAAGCACGTGCGAATACTAAAGATGCTAGCAATATAGCTCAGTTAACAAAAGCACTAAGTTATAAAACTACTCTATATAGAGATTTCTAAGTTTCCCGGGGAAGCACTTGGTATA